GTTTGGAAATCAGGAGAAGGTGTGGAGTTAATAAAAGTAATAGTCAGAGGGCTGAAGAGGGGTTGTTGAGATGGTTTGGTCATTTAGAGAGAATGGATCAAATTAGAATGACATGGAAAGCGTATAAATCTGTAGGGGAGGAAGGCGGGGTAGGGGTCATCCTCGAAAAGGTTGGAGGGTGGGGGTAAAGGAGGTTTTGTGGGCGAGGGGCTTGGACTTCCAGCAAGAATGCATGAGTGGGTTAGATAGGAGTGTGGGACCTGAGGAGCCGTTGGAGTGTGAGCAGGGTAATATTTAGTGAAGGGATTCTGGGAAACCGGTTATTTTTATATAGCCGGACTTGAGTCCTGGAAATGGGAAGTACAATGCCTGCACTTTAAAGGAGGGGTTTGGAGGCAGCTTGGAGGGATATGTTGTGTATCTTTATACGTATATGCTTCTAAATTGTTGTATTCTGAGCACCTCTGTAAAAACAGTGATTATGTGTGAGTGAGGTGAAAGTGTTGAATGATGATGAAAGTATATTCTTTATGGGAATTTTCTTTTTGGGTCACCCTGCTTCAGTGGAAGACGGCCGACTTGTTAAAAAAAAAAATGCATGTGTAGTGTGACCCAAGTGTAAGTAGAAGTAGCAAGACATACCTGAAAGCTTACATGCACATGAGATAGAAACAAGACACCAGAAATCCTACCATCATGTAAAACAATTACATGCTTTCGTTTTACACTCACTTGGAATGACGGTAGTACCTCCTTGGGTGGTTGCTGTCTGTCTCCCAACCTACTACTACTACTACTACTAGTACTACCAATACTACTACTACTACTACTGCTCTTATCTATGTCATTTTCTAGGAAAATGAGTGTAGCTTTCTCCCAAGCCATGGAACAGGAAAACATTAGGCATTATTAATGTTATCAATTCTGCAGGTACATTTATGCTCTCGAAGGCATGTGTAGGTAAATTTCTACGAGTTTCCCAAATACAAACTTTTGGTGATGCATTAGGTCTAACAGCTTTGGTAATTTCTTTGATGATCTTGGTGGTGACTACTGCTATGTCTGCATTTGAATTACAAAGAAAAAGGAGACTGTGTCTGCCATGGGTAAGGTGAGCAGAATGAGCCTACCTTCAGTTTCTATTTGGCTCCTAGCACTGCTGTGTATGTAAAATGAGCCTGCCTTCAGTTTCCATTTGGCTCCTAGCACTGCTGTGTATGTAGAATGAGCCTGCCATCAGTTTCTATTAGGCTCCTAACACTGCTGTGTATGTAGAATGAGCTTGCCTTCAGTTTTTATTTGGCTCCTAGCACTGCTGTGTATGTAGAATGAGCCTGCCATCAGTTTCTATTAGGCTCCTAACACTGCTGTGTATGTAGAATGAGCTTGCCTTCAGTTTTTATTTGGCTCCTAGCACTGCTGTGTATGTAGAATAAGCCTGCCTTCAGTTTCTATTTGGCTCCTAGCACTGCTGTGTATGTAAAATGAGCCTGCTGTCAGTTTCTATTTGACTCCTAGAACTGTTGTGTATATGTAGAGCATTTTGTTTGCAGGAAGGTGGAACTTTTTAGCTAACAAAGGTTTTCTTAATATTTTCTTCCTTAATCTGCAGAAATTCCTTGCTGCAGAATCTGAGAGCACAAAGGAAGACGTAGATGATAACTTCTTTCTTAGTTTTGAGATTGTGGTGAAAATAGACATGTTAGCTCATCTCTATGGAAAGGTTTTCTCTAGCTGGTGCATTTCAAGTGCTCGCCTACCTTGGTAAAATGAACAATTGAGAAGACTAGAGAGTCACCTATTTCTTCTTAAAGAGTAAACCAGATTGAAGATTAGACCTACACAAGTTGATCCTTAAAGTCAGTGAGGTTAAAGCGCCTCAATACTAAGACCAAGATGTCGTCAGCATACCTAAGCCATGTAATGTGTCAGGGTATGATTCCACAAAAGCATAGTACTGAATGGCGAACCCATTGCCACACAAAATTTTTGTCTGTAGAGTTCTGACTTGTAGGCAAACAAAATGAACTGAACAAAAATCTCACCAAAAAATGAAGTCTTGAACAGCCAGTGGAAGATAAAGACAGTTCATGGTATGGCTGCTCACAAATGCAAGAATTTGTTCTATGGGGACCTATGTAGAGAGAGAGAGGTGCTGACCAGGATTACCAGTTTCTTATTTTTCATGTTCACATTAGTGAACTGGGAAATGGGATCTCCAGAGTGACAAAGATACGGTGGCCAATAGTACTTTATATCTGGGGCAGATTTTAGCCATAACTCTGACAAATTTGTGTGGCACACTGCTAGATGTTATAAGACAAAGGAATATTGGGATTATGAATTTTGGAAGCCCATAAATGTGTGCAGATCAAGGGTTAATAGACAGGACATAACATAAATTCTTACTTTGGGTGGAATGCAATAGCATTTTCCAGGCTTTGCCCAGTAAAACTTTTATATTCTTCTATAGCTTAAGGTGAGATGTGTCATAAGTATTGTTGATACTAAGTAGGTCTATCCCTTTTGTATGATGGTAATCAATGTCTAGTAAAACAACACCTCTGCTCTTGTCAGCCATGGTGATGTTTTCACTATGTACTTGATAAAAGCCCTTATTGGGTAAAACCCTAAACATTACAGGTTTCCTCTACACATTGTATCTTATTCTTTCCACTTGTTGGCTTGTTGCCAGTACCAACAGTTTAAATACTGTACTACACATAACCTAGAATAAACAACAGTATAGAGTGAAATGGCACATAAATACTGATTCAATCATATAAGCACCACAGCAAAAAATTTTAACGAAAAACACACTTGTGAGGGAGAAAAACCTTGATTGAAACCAGATCAAAATAAATATGAACTTAAGAAATTAAAAAGTAGAAAATATCTTAGGCAAGCAGAAAGATTAAACAAAGGAAAAACATATATTTGCAAAAGGATGACAAGAGTACCTTGAGTTCAGCTAATCTGACTCAAAATCCAGGTAAGTGGAATCAAGTTCCAGACATGTTAATTGCAGTCCTACATTTTGAAAGATGGAAGGGCATTTCAGTGGATCACCACAAATGTAGAGACAGCTAAGAAATATGTAATATGAGTATTTTTTCCATTTTTAAGGGATCAGTGAAAGATATGCAATCTATAGGAACACACAGCAAATATTCATGTTACACAAACTGCAAATGGCAAAATATTAGCGTACAGTTTAGTACCACATTAAGTTTGCTGTTTTCACCTTATAAATATCATACAGACGAGGGTAGCCATACAATAATGTAGATATCCCTACTACTATTTAGAAAAAGAACATACACTCCAACAGCATGTTAAAGCCTAACAAGGTAAGAAGAACCTTGAAAAACATTATCAGTGTATACTCTGGAACCAAGTACACATTGAAATTTCTTATAAAGCCCAATCTATGGATGTGATAATTATCAACATAAAAAAAATCAGAATGGTGGAGACTGCTCAAGAACTTGATTTAGCAGTTAACAAATCTGAATTATATTTACATATTACTGTACTTTTCACCATTAATTTTTTTCACCATATATACTGAGAGTTTGTGCATGTTTATTTTATACATGAGTGGTGGGGTCACATTTGTTTGGCAGAGAATGGTCATGAACTTAATAATTATGGTGGGAAGTATGAGTGAGTGAAGGCAGTTCAGTACTGTATATTTTGAAGGCTGATCCTATTGTCACTCAGGCACCTGCTACCCTCACCACAACCTCCATCCAATTCCACAGGGCCAAAGTAATTACTCTTGCCAGATACTCAGCCCTACATTCTTATACATCTAACACACTCACCTTAACACTTCCTTCCACATCACATGCCCAAACATGTGATACCCTCACTCGTACCCTGCTTCCCACACTAGCACAGGCACTCGCCATGAGTATTGCGAAGGAGAGGAAGGGAATGAGACAGAGAGGGAAGGGGATAAATGAGGGAGGAAATGAGACAAAAAGGAAGAGGAGAAAGGGAGGGAATGGCAGAGGAAGAGGAGACAAAAGAGGAGAAAGAGGGAAGAAGGAGGGCTTGAGACAGAGGGAAGGAAAGAAAGAGAGAGGGAATGAGAGAGAGGGAAGAGTAGAAAGGAGAGGAATAAGACAGAAGAAGAGAAAGAGGAAAGATGAGAAAGTGGAATAGAATGAGACAGAGAGGGGGAAAAGAGAGAAAGGAAATGAGAGAGGGAAGGGGAGAACAGGGAAAGGAATGAGACAAAAGAGAAAAAGGGAGAAAGAGGGAGGGAATGAGACAGAGGCAAGGGGTGAAAGAGGGAGGAAAGGAAACAAAAAGGGACCTATCTCAGGTGAATAAATTTTTTTTAATTATATTGTTTAAAAATGAAATTAGATACAGATTATTGTTGTACTATAATGCATTTAATTATAGTGAAGGTTTCTTGAGAAAAATAGTCCAAATACTGAACACAAGTTCCAAATGATACTCAGGAAAGCATCTCAATTCATTAGTTGGGAACTACAGTATACATCTTACAATTTTATCTTTTACTTTTATTTATTTGATTTGTAATTATTGTTCAGTACTTTCTTGTCCTTAAACTTAAGAGATGGCCAATAACTCAACGTATCTGTGGTGCTGTAATGAAGGCCTGTGTATCGGTGAAGATACAAAGTCTATTCTAATACATTTAATTTTCAATATCCTACCAACAACTGTGCCTTCTGTGCCAAATATTAAAAAAAAAAGGAGTGGATAAACACTGGATACACAGTGTAATGGATATATATATTATAAAGAAAGAGATATTCAAGAATAGAAGTGCAACCAAATAAGAAATAAAACAGTGTGTTGCAGGCGGATTAAATAAATGTTGGAAACAAATGATGTGTGAATGGACAGAATTATAAAAACACAAACAAAACAAAAGAAACCATATTTTGACAATGATGAACCAGTTTATAAGTGAATATAAGTATTTCTGTACGAGAAGTAATTGTGACAGCACAGCCTACCTGGCCATCAGTTTCCGCCAATACTCCACAGAGACAGCTGGAGCAAGTGCAAGTGCATGGTCCCAGTGGTGGAGTCTTGTCATCAGCTCACAATACTGGTGAAGGGCTCCACATCTTAGGTATGATTCAGCTAGAAGGTCTTGATTCTCTTGCATTGAGTGCTTGCGACTGGCTACACCATGGCCACGGTTAGCATCAATTTCTTGCTCTGCAGCCACTGCCTGATAGCAGAGATTAACTCTTCAAACAATCTTACCATTGCATAGCCTTCTTGTAGTAGAGATTACAAAAATTTACTGTATCTCATTAACCCTTTAACTGTCCAAAAGTTCCCATGATAAAGTTACCCAACAATACACACAATCTCTTTTATACATCTACCAGCATTGTACACCTTTTTTGAAACATACATTTGAAACATACATGCATAGTTCCTTTGTATAAAGGCAAAGGGGATAAAAGAGAGTGCAAAAATTATAGGGGGATAAGTCTGTTGAGTGTACCTGGTAAAGTGTATGGTAGAGTTATAATTGAAAGAATTAAGAGTAAGACGGAGAATAGGATAGCAGATGAACAAGGAGGCTTTAGGAAAGGTAGGGGGTGTGTGGACCAGGTGTTTACAGTGAAACATATAAGTGAACAGTATTTAGATAAGGCTAAAGAGGTCTTTGTGGCATTTATGGATTTGGAAAAGGCGTATGACAGGGTGGATAGGGGGGCAATGTGGCAGATGTTGCAAGTGTATGGTGTAGGAGGTAGGTTACTGAAAGCAGTGAAGAGTTTTTACGAGGATAGTGAGGCTCAAGTTAGAGTATGTAGGAAAGAGGGAAATTTTTTCCCAGTAAAAGTAGGCCTTAGACAAGGATGTGTGATGTCACCGTGGTTGTTTAATATATTTATAGATGGGGTTGTAAGAGAAGTAAATGCGAGGGTCTTGGCAAGAGGCGTGGAGTTAAAAGATAAAGAATCACACACAAAGTGGGAGTTGTCACAGCTGCTCTTTGCCGATGACACTGTGCTCTTGGGAGATTCTGAAGAGAAGTTGCAGAGATTGGTGGATGAATTTGGTAGGGTGTGCAAAAGAAGAAAATTAAAGGTGAATACAGGAAAGAGTAAGGTTATGAGGATAACAAAAAGATTAGGTGATGAAAGATTGAATATCAGATTGGAGGGAGAGAGTATGGAGGAGGTGAACGTATTCAGATATTTGGGAGTGGACGTGTCAGCGGATGGGTCTATGAAAGATGAGGTGAATCATAGAATTGATGAGGGAAAAAGAGTGAGTGGTGCACTTAGGAGTCTGTGGAGACAAAGAACTTTGTCCTTGGAGGCAAAGAGGGGAATGTATGAGAGTATAGTTTTACCAACGCTCTTATATGGGTGTGAAGCGTGGGTGATGAATGTTGCAGCGAGGAGAAGGCTGGAGGCAGTGGAGATGTCATGTCTGAGGGCAATGTGTGGTGTGAATATAATGCAGAGAATTCGTAGTTTGGAAGTTAGGAGGAGGTGCGGGATTACCAAAACTGTTGTCCAGAGGGCTGAGGAAGGGTTGTTGAGGTGGTTCGGACATGTAGAGAGAATGGAGCGAAACAGAATGACTTCAAGAGTGTATCAGTCTGTAGTGGAAGGAAGGCGGGGTAGGGGTCGGCCTAGGAAGGGTTGGAGGGAGGGGGTAAAGGAGGTTTTGTGTGCGAGGGGCTTGGACTTCCAGCAGGCATGCGTGAGCGTGTTTGATAGGAGTGAATGGAGACAAATGGTTTTTAATACTTGACGTGCTGTTGGAGTGTGAGCAAAGTAACATTTATGAAGGGATTCAGGGAAACCGGCAGGCCGGACTTGAGTCCTGGAGATGGGAAGTACAGTGCCTGCACTCTGAAGGAGGGGTGTTAATGTTGCAGTTTAAAAACTGTAGTGTAAAGCACCCTTCTGGCAAGACAGTGATGGAGTGAATGATGGTGAAAGTTTTTCTTTTTCGGGCCACCCTGCCTTGGTGGGAATCGGCCGGTGTGATAATAATAAAAAAAACATTGGTCTAATATTGACAATAGCATTATGTCCATGCATCATATTAATTTTTTTTTTTAACAAGTCAGCCGTCTCCCACCGAGGCAGGGTGACCCAAAAAGAAAGAATTTTTTCAATAATAACCCTACCGTACACTTTTCCTGGTATACTCAGTAAACTAATTCCTCTACAATTTTTGCAATCTCTTTTGTCCCCCTTCCCTTTATATAAAGGGACTATACATGCTCTCCGCCAATCCCTAGGTACCTTCCCCTCTTTCTTACATTTATTAAACAAAAATACCAACCACTCCAACACTATATCCCTCCTTGCTTTAAACATTTCTGTCATGATCCCATCAGTTCCAGCTGCTTTACCCCCTTTCATTCTACGTAATGCCTCACGCACCTCCCCCACACTTACATCCTGCTCTTCTTCACTCCTAAAAGATGGTATACCTCCCTGGCCAGTGCATGAAATTACCGCCTCCCTTTCTTCATCGACATTTAAGAGTTCCTCAAAGTATTCTCGCCATCTACCCAATACCTCCATCTCCCCATCTACTAACTCTCCTACTCTGTTTTTAACTGACAAATCCATTTGTTCCCTAGGCTTTCTTAACTTGTTTAACTCACTCCAAAATTTTTTCTTAATTTCATTAAAATTTCTTGATATTAATATTTTCCTCATATTATGACAGTGGCTGGCACTATTTTATATGAAAAAGAAAACCAAGTTAACCTATCTCACTCCTTTAAATTCTTATGAATGAAATTTAACAGAATTTTAAGACAAATTTGATTAAACTCAATAATACTGAGGAAAATCTTTAACAACTCATGATTAAATGAGCTTGACTAAATATTGGAAATCAAAGTAAAGTGTAAGTAAAAGCCTGAGCAACAAGCAGCTGATGTAAAAAATTAGATAAGACATGAACGAACCAGTGAACACTTGATGAGGTGAGAATGATGCATGATGGACTGAGTATAGTTTGGTGAGAGCTGAGAGATGTCAGCATGTCCTTGCAGTACATACACGAGATCCCACAGGTTCTTCACTTGTACGTCACCCTAAATAAGAAGAAATTACTGCATTATACTGCATATACAGAATGGGACCACAAATTATTGTCAACTACAGAGAAAGAGTGACTTAATTAACAACAGAGTACAGTGGACCCCCTGTTAACGATATTTTTTCACTCCAGAAGTATGTTCAGGTGCCAGTACTGACCGAATTTGTTCCCATAAGAAATATTGTGAAGTAGATTAGTCCATTTCAGACCCCCAAACATACACGTACAAATGCACTTACATAAATACACTTACATAATTGGTCGCATTCGGGGGTAATTGTTATGCGGGGGTCCACTGTACATGTAAACTAAAAACTAAGATAGCAAAATTTATACCAGAAACAAATTAAGAAAAATATACGATATAAAAATGTTCTAATACAGTAAATACAGTAATACAAATTAACCCTTAATCCAAGTTTAAATGAATAAAAACAAAGAATGTCTGTCTAGTTGCTTTAAAATAGTTACATATCATCAATATTCTCAATTAAGTTATAGCGTAAAAAATGTGAAAAAGTAAGCACCATATTTAACCCTTTGAGGGTCGACAGGCCCTCTCCGAAACTCGTTCTCAGGGTCGGCCAAATTTAAAAAAAAAAAAAAATTATTTTCTCTTATGAAAAGATAGAGAATCTTTTCCCGATCATAACGACACCAAAAGTTTGAAATTTGATAGAAAACTTACGGAATTATGCTCTCGCAAAGTTAGCGGTCTCGGCGATGTTTACGCATAGGCGATTTTGCCCACTTTGAGCCCCATTTTCAGCCAATTTCACTGTACTAGTCGACAAAAAACATGAATATTTCGCTAGAACTCCATTTTTTCTATCGAATGGGTGCAAGAAACCACCCATTTATAAATTCAACTATCCAGTACAGTGGTCAGAATTTAGCAATTTTGCCAATTTCACACAAATTTCAAAAGATGCCAATTTCCGAATAGGGTCCAGAATAAACAAGATAGACATTCCTGGCACTAAAATGACATTTCCTCTAGTCATTAGTCACGTCTCAAGGCCCCTCTTATATTCTTTTGCTTTCCACTTTGAATTTTTATTCTCACAAAAAATATAAGATTTACTGTTATGCAGACTACTGCATTAGTGTAAAAAATGGTATAAATATTATTGGTGCACTTGTGAAAGAATATTAGACTCACCAGTTGACGTGTATTGCACGCTTGGCACGATTTGTTTACTTTTGAAGTTTGGTAAAAATCGAACATTTCTGCTACTTTGAGCTCAATTTCAAGGCACCTTTCATTGTAAAACCAGTCAAAATCATCTCAATTTCAGTAATATGTCTTCCATTCTACAAAATGATACCAAGAAAACTAGAATACAACAATAAATACCATACGAAAATACACTGCAAAGTCGCTGATTTATTAAAAAAAAATGGTCAAAGTTTTTTTTTCTCATTATGCACTGTGTGCTGCAGGATTTTTTTTAGACTGTGCACACTGACCACATAGACCCATTCTTTCATATGAAGGCCTACCAGCTTTCTCCCACTAGATTTGAGGGCGCTAGAATTTATGAGTACTAGTACGTCAAAAACCCCTACGCGTAAGACGTACTAGTACGACGAAAACCCTCAAAGGGTTAAAAGATGATAATAATAGGATTTTAAGTCCTACTATTTTTACTGGCATATGCAGAAGGCATGTGTGAGTGTGTTAGTCAGGAGTGAATGGAGACAAATGGTTTTTGGGATTTGATGAGCTGTTGGAGTATGAGAAGGGTAATATTTTGTGAAGGGATTCAAGGAAACCAGTTAGCCGGACTCAAGTCCTGGAGGTGGGAAGTACAATGCCTGCACTTTAAAGGAGGGGTTTGGAATATTGGCTGTTTGGCATGCCATCTAAACTGTCATGTATGAGCGCTTTTGCAGAGACAGTGATATTGTGTGAATGATGGTGAAAGTGTTTTGTTTTTGAGTCACCATGCCTCGGTGGGAGATGGCCAACATGTTAAAAAAAAAAACATTAGTTTTGAAAAGAATCACATTTTTTTATAAACAGTAATACAAATGAAAATATATACCTTACACTGTTTTTTTATAAAAAGAAATGTAATTCAAATTTAACCCTTTGGGGGTTTTGGACATACTAGTACGTCTTACGACCCAGGGTTTTTGACGTACGTACTACTACACCTAAATTTTAGCACCCTCAAATCTAGCGAGAGAAAGCTGGTAGGCCTACATATGTAAGAATCAGTCTATGTGGTCAGTGTGCACAGTATAAAAAAAATCCTGCAGCACACAGTGCGTAATGAGAAAAAAAAACTTTGACCATGTTTTTGGATTAAAACAGCGACTTTGCACTGTATTTTTGTATGGTATTTATTGTTGTATTCTAGTTTTCTTGGTATCATTTTATAGAAAGGAAGACATATTACAGAAATTGAGATGATTTTGACTGGTTTTACAATGAAGAGTACCTTGAAATTGAGCTCAAAGTAGCAGAAATGTTCGATTTTTACCAAAGTTCAAAAGTAAACAAATCATGTCAAGCATCCAATACACATCAACTGATGAGTCTAATATTCTTCCACAAGTGCGCTGATATCATTTATACCATTTCTACACTAATGCAGTAGTCTGCATAACAGTAAATCTAATTTTTTTTTGTAAGAATAAAAATTCAAAGTGGAAAGCCAAAGAAATACAAGAGGGGCCTGGGGATGTGACTAACGAACAGAGAACTTGCTATTTTAGTGCCAGGAATGTCTTTCTTGTTTATTCTGGACCCTATTCGGAAATTGGCATCTCTTGAAATTTGTGTGAAATTGGCAAAATTGCTAAATTCTGACCATTTTATTGGATAGTTGAAATCAGTAAATGGGTGGTTTCTTGTACTCATTCGATAGAAAAAATGGAGTTTTAGCGAAATAGTTATGATTTTTGTCGACTAGTACACTGGAATTGGCTGAAAATAGGGCAAAATCGCCGATGCGTCAACATCATCGAGACCGCTAACTTCAAGAGAGCATAATTCCCCAAGTTTTCCATCAAATTTCATACTTTTGGTGTCATTATGATCGGGAAAATATTCTCCATCTTTTCATACGAAAAAATATTTTTTTTTTTTTTTAAATTTGGCCGACCTTGAGAACAAGTCTCTGAGAGGACCTGTCGACCCCCAAAGGGTTAACTCATTTTACGAATATGATTGCTGCCTATGCCATCATGCTTATCACAAATGCAGATGGGACCACCCAAGTTAATATCACTAAATCTTTAGTGAAGTGCACTTAATAAGAACCCAGTGTCAAATTCTGAGTTTGTTTTAAATAATGAACAAGAATGAAATCCTGTACCTAAATGTAACTGTTTCACACCAGACAACAATAACAAACAAAAAATAGACAAACTAAAATTTTTTACTACAATCCAGACTGTAATGATTAAAGAAAATTAAAGAAAACATATAGGAAAAAAACTGAAACAGAAGGATATCCAAGAAACCTATGCAAAGCCAGAGTAATTATTAAAAAAATTCTCCACTCTAAACACAATATCATGATTTCCTTAACCCTTTCAGGGTCCAAGGCCAAAATCTGAAGTGGTGCCCCAGTGTCCAAGAATTTTCAAAAAAAAAAATTTTTATTTTTTCTTATGAAATGGTAGAGAATCTTTTTGTGAATGTAATAAAACAAAAAGTACGAAATTTGATGGAAAATTGACGAAATTATGCTCTCGTGAATTTTGATGTGTCAGCGATATTTACGAATCGGCGATTTTGCCGACTTTGACTCCCATTTTAGGCCAATTACATTATTCCAGTCGACCAAATTCTCAGCTATTTTACTAGTATTACTTCTATTCTATCGATTGAGCACAAGAAATCACCAAGTCAACTGTTTCAACTACAAAATGAAGTGACTGGAAATTGGTAATTTGGCCAATTTAACACAAAGTTCAAAATATTCCAATTTCAAAATAGGGTCCAAAATAAACAATGTAGGTATTCCTGGCACTAAACTAACATTTCCTCTGTTCATTAGTTATGTTTTGAGGCTTTACAAATAAATTCCATTTTGATATTTTATTCACATAATGAATTTTTATTCACACCAAAAAATAGAAGATTTACTATTATGCAATATTGTAATAATTGTATAAATATCATCACCACATTTGTGAATGTATATTAGACCCACCAGCTGGCGTGTATTAGACGTGTGAGGTCGTTTGTTTACTCTTGAACATCGGCAAAAATTTAACATTTCCGCCACTTTGAGCTCAATTTCAAGCCATTTCCAGTGCTAACACCAATCAAAATTATCTCTATTTCTGTAATATGTCTTCCATTCTATCAAATGAGACCAAGAAATCACAAATACAACTATAAAAAACATACAAAAAAACACTGCAGTCGCTGTTTTAATCGAAAATCATGGTCTCAGTTTTTTTTCTCTCATTATACACAGTGTGCTGCAGGATTTGTTTTATGTGGTGCACACATACCACATAGATGTATTCTCTCATATCTAGGCCCAAATTTACCACTCACAGTTTATCAGAGTGAGCTGAGCTCATGACGTAGATCTACGGGACGGACCCTGAAAGGGTTAAAACATTGTATAGTATTTCCATGTTCTTACTTTTGAGATTAGGCCTTGCCTGTGCTTTTCTGCTTATGTAAGTACTGTATGCCTATAGTAACCCATGGGTTCTTTTGCCATTTCCTAATAATTTGCATGGTTATCAAGAGAAAGTACATTGTACAGTGGGTGGATTTTTCCTGAAAAAAATTTCTCACTTGGGTACTCATGATTAGGATGTCGCTTACCTGCCTTTTCAAAGTCCTCTATTTTCTTCTTTTTTAACCTCACTGGAAGTCTCCTGCCAAGGCAGGGTGACCCAAAGAAACATATTCACAATCATTCATTCATTCATATATCTCTTATGGGAATGATAAACCTATTTACTGCTGCTTTATTATGTATAGGCTGGGACGATTATAGTGGGTCTTATTAAGTCTAGTGTGGAGGCAGATGAATCTGTGATTCTCACAGGTTTTGTGAGTGAGGGTATTAGAAGGCAGGTGCACACATGACAGTATTTATGATGCATGAGAATTGGAGTAATTTTTTTTTTTTTTACCACAAAAGTCATCTCCCACCAAAATAAGGTGACCTAACAACTTAAAACATTCACCATCATTTATTTAATAGATGTCTTTCCAGAGGTGTGCAGACATCACAGTTGAAATAACCCTCCAAAATGTGACATACCCATCCCTCCTGAGTGCAGGTACTGTACTTCAGGATCAATTGTGCAACTATATAATCAACAAAAGCATCCATAACGTTTGTGTTTTTTTTATGTTGCATCTCAATTGTATAACAAATTACAGAACATTTCACCTTTTTTATATGGTCTCAATAATTGTATATACTCTTGTGATTAATACAGTTGCTATATAGTATCATGTTTTAGATGTTTCTATTAGACTTATCAAGAATTGGAATTTAACCCTTTCAGGGTCCGTGCCATAGATCTACGGCTATACATTGAGGGTCCAAACCGTAGATCTACGCCAAAATTCTAGTGGCGTCAAATTTAGTGCAAGAAGGCTGGTAGGCCTACATCTGAGAGAACGGGTCCGTGTGGTGTGCGTGCGCTGTTAACAAAAATTCTAGGCGCTCGTATGGCACTGTCGGAACGCTGCCTTAGTTACCTTTGTTCACCACGCCTCGTCGCAAGGCAGCTCTCACTCCAAAGCAGATTGGGACTCTCTTCCTATCTGATAGTTCTGACTCTGATGGAAGTGGAAATGAAGACGAATTCTATGGCTCTGATCAATTAGTGACCAAAAGGAATGACCAGGATATCAAAAATAGTGCAGAAAATCCTGATGATCCTCAACCTTCTACCTCTGGTGTGGGCATGTCTCAGTCACGTTCAGTTGTACCTCGTCGCAAGAGAAAACTAATATTTTCGCGTGGCCAGGCCTCAGACTTCAGTAATGATGATGATAGTGATGTGGATTATGATTTTATTGCTCTTGACGATCATTTGAGTAGTGATAGAGAGGAATCATATTCACCAATGAAGTGTCGGTATATACACCGCCACATGCGTTCGGGGAGTGTTCCTATGCAGTGCCCAGGGGACAGAGTACATCCCAGAGTACATCCCGTGGCCCTACACCAGGAATAGGAATAGACAGTGAAAGTGAGGATGATGTGGCTACACTTGGCATGGTGGTATTGGTGGTGATAGTGATAGTGGTGATGGTAGTGCCACGGCCATGCATGACTCACCAGCCCAGGCTGGGACCCCACGCTGCTGACTCCTCAGCTCAAGGACAAACCAGAGTGTCATCCACCACCACACCACAACTACAACTACAACCACAACCAGGGTATGATGTCCAGTATCCACCAGCAAACCACATCTGGAATTGGCAGCAAAAATCCCAGTTTTGTTCCCACTCCCCATCAGTTTGATGACTCTCAAAGTGGAATACTACCAGCTTGTTCCCTTGGAAACACTGCAAATGAACTGGAATTCTTTGAACTATTCTTTGACTAGCCCTTGATGGAAACTATTGTCACGGAAAGTAACAAGTATTTTTGAGTACACCATGGCAAATACGATCATATCACTACAGTCAAGACCACACCGGTGGAAAGAGACAACTGTGGGTGAAATGTATTTGCTTTTTGCAACAATAATGCTTATGCCTCATGTTTATAAGCATAATATAAAATCATACTGGTCCACAGATTGGCTAATTTGTACCCCGGTCTTCAGTGAAATCATCCCAGTGAACAAGTTTATCTTACTGTTATGTATGTTGCACTTCTCTGACAAAACCAGGTCTGACAGAAGTGACAGGTTATACAAGATTAGAAATGTTTTTATGTATCTGAAACAAAAGTTCAACATATACTTTTATCCATTCAAGAATCTTGTAATTGACGAGTCTTTGATTTTGTTCAAAGGTAGACTGTCATTCAAGCAGTATATACTGAGCAAGAGGAAACGCTTTGGCGTAAAACTGTTTGTACTCTGTGACTGTGACAGTGGCCTGGTATTGGATATTATTGTACACACGGGAAGTAAAACACTGAAAGATACCAGGATGTTATTGAGTATCTCAGGTGACGTAGTGAGAAACATGATGGCACCTTATCTTGGTATGGGGCATACATTATATACTGATAACTGGTACACAAGCCCTTTACTCATTGATTTCTTGTGAGTGAACATGACTGATGTGTGTGGCACAGCAGTGCATTCTAATCATAAACATATGCCCAGGTTCAACGCAGGCACTCGTAGTGGTGAGGTGCAGGTGTTTACTGCCAATGACATCATGCCATTACGGTGGCATGACAAACGAGATGTCACAGTGTTGACAACCATTCACCCTAACAAAATGCAAGACAGTGGCAAAGTTGATAGAGTAACTAATGAACGTATTCGAAAACCAGTGACAGTGATTGACTATACACAAAATATGCGTTTGGTTGACAAATGTGACATGCAAATAGACTTTGTTGATTGTGTTTGTAAGAGTTACAAGTGGTACATGAAACTTTTCTTCCATCTCATATACATTTCAATGCTCAATGCACATAATATGTACCAAATAAAGACTGGCAACAAACCACTGTATGGTGAATTTTGTTTGTCTGTTGTCAGAACTCATAACAAAGTACCAGGTAACAATACCTGCTATACAAAACCGTCCTCGAACTCCTCAGGAAATACCCAAGCATTTGAGGAGGGAAGGTAATCACTTCATAATACATCTTCCTGCAACTAAGAACAAATTTGCTCAGAAGAGATGTGTTGTCTGTGCACAAACAAAATGATGGCAACAAAGGTGCAAAGACACTCGCTCTATGTGTGAGGAATGTAAGGTACCTCTGTACATGATACCTTGTTTCAAGGACTTCCACAAGCTGCAGCAGTTCTAAAAACATGTCCAGTGACTGTATGTAAGTAAATATGTAATAGAACATTAGTATTATACAAGATTTGTGCATGTTTATTATAGTAAACAACAGTGGTAAACAAAATTATAATAATAACTTTAGTGCAGTTATTGTGTTCAATACAGTGAGTGTATATATATACATTATATACAGTATTGATCTCACAGGCCACAAATGTTACTAGAAAAAGAAAAAAATTAGAAAAGAAAAAAGCATAAAAAAACGTAAAATAAAGAAATGCAATTTTGTGGAAATCGCCGATGTTGCCACCACTCGGTCATTTTGGGTCAACTTCTCACCTCTGTATCTCGGTAAGTACTGATCAGAATTTTTTTTTGATTTATTACCTTCACAAAAATATAATCTTTAATTCTGTAAGAAATAATATTTTTTTTTTTTTTTTCAAAATTTCTTGGACACTGGGGCACCCCTTCAGATTTTGCCTTTGGAGCCTGAAAGAGTTAATGATTCCAGCAGATCGCTGAGGAAATTAGTTTACTTAAGACCTCCCATTTTGATTTAATGAAGATATACTTTTAATAAACAAAAGACTTTGTCAAGACTTGCTGTACAACACCTGTACTTGTAGTTTTGATTAGCAGGGTGTTGGCTGCTGTAGATGTTAGATAGCAAATTGTGTTCTACATCACTGATAACTAAAATGACTGACTAACTGAATTAAACATTAATAGTATATAATACCAACACAGAAGAGATCTGTGAACAACTTCAGTCTTTTGCTGGGCCGATGGGAGATATCTGTTTTCTGTAGAGCTGTCAGAAGGTGCTCTGCTCTGAGGCCACACAAGTAGAGACCACTGGAAAAGCTATTCTGTTGTTCTGAAAAACAATAAATTTTAGAAGTACAAATCACACAGAAATACAACAATCTTTGCGTGAGTAGCAATACTGCAGAGATGATGTTCTAGCATTGATATTTGAATTAATAGTCTCTTTACTTAAATATCATCACTGTAATCTTTATGAACTTCCCACTTTCTTGGTGGTAGGAGCCATTCGCCTGTAAATGATAATGTATTATAGGAAAAAAAAAGAGGTAAAGGATAGCAAAAATAAAACTGCAAATGACTAATCTATGAAAAAATTCTATACCATTATCAATATATTAAGACACTGCTATATAAGGCAGATTTATAAGGAAATGCTGAAATTCATGTTTTATTGCTATGTAAAAGTGTAGTGTATGTGTGTCTCAGGATGAGATTAAGGCTCTACAAGTCATTATGCACAGGCAGTATTTGGGGCCCTCTTGTACTCTAATAAATCATAAAAATTAATAAGTAAAATTACAAATTTAATCATCAAATAATGACAAAAGGACATTTGGTCTAATACAGGAAATGTTTTACAGTATTATTATTATTATTATTATTTTTTTTTTTTTTCAACAAATTGGCTGTCTCCCACCGAGGCAGGGTGACTCAAAAAAGAAAGAAAATCCCCAAAAAGAAAATACTTTCATCATCATTCAACACTTTCACCACACTTACACATTATCACTGTTTTTGCAAATGTGCTCAGAATACAACAGTTTAGAAGCATATACGTATAAAGATACACAACATATCCCTTCAAACTGCCAATATCCCAAACCCCTCCTTTAAAATGCAGGTATTGTACTTCCCATTTCCAGGACTCAAGTCCGACTATATGAAAATAACCGGTTTCCCTGAATCCCTTCACTAAATATTACCCTGCTCACACTCCAACAGATCGTCAGGTCCCAAGTACCATTCGTCTCCATTCACTACTTGGGACCTGACGATCTGTTGGAGTGTGAGCAGGGAAATATTTGTTGAAGGGATTCAGGGAAAACGGTTATTTTCATATAGTCGGACTTGAGTCCTGGAAATGAGAAGTACAATGCCTGCACTTTAAAGGAGGGGTTTGGGATATTGGCAGTTTGGAGGGATATGTTGTGTATCTTTATACGTATATGCTTCTAAACTGTTGTATTCTGAGCACCTCTGCAAAAACAGTGATAATGTGTGAGTGTGGTGAAAGTGTTGAATGATGATGAAAGTATTTTCTTTTTGGGGATTTTCTTTCTTTTTTGGGTCACCCTGCCTCGGTGGGAGACGGCCAATTTGTTGAAAAAAAAAATATATATTATTATAATAATAATAATAATAATAATACTGTAAAACATTTCCTGTATTGGACCAAATGTCCTTTTGTCATTATTTGATGATTAAATTTGTAATTTTACTTATTAATTTTTATGATTTATTAGAGTACAAGAGGGCCCCAAATACTGCTTGTGCTTAATGACTTGTAGAGCCTCCTGAAAGGGACCAATATATAATTTTTTTTTTTTAACATGTCACCCGTTTTCCACTGAGGCAGGGTGACCCAAAAAGAAAGAAAAACCCAAAGAGAAAGAAAAAACTTTCATAATCATTCAACACTTTCACCATCACTCACACATAATCACTGTCTTTGCAGAGGAGCTCAGATACGACAGCTTAGACATTCCTCTAAATTGCCAATACCCGAAACCCCCTCCTTTAACCCTTTCAGGGTTGGTGCCATACTAGTATGGCCTGTATGCCAGGGTTGGTGCCGTACTAGTATGCATAAATTCTAGCACCTTCAAATCTAGCGAGAGAAAGCATGTAGGCCTACATATGAAAGAATGGGACTATGTGGTCAGTGTGCACAGTATAAAGAAAATCCTGCAGCACACAGTGAATAATGAGAAAAAAAAATTCCAGCCGTGTTTTTGCTTTAAAACAGTGACTTTGCAGTGTATTTTCGTATGTTATTTATGGTTGTATTCTAGTTTTCCTGGTCTCGTTTTATAGAACAGAACACATATTACAGAAATTGAGATGATTTTGATTGGTTTCACAATGAAAAGCCCTTGAAACTGAGCTTAAAGTAGCAGAAATGTTCGATTTTTGCCAAAGTTCAAAAGTAAACACATCATGCCACGCGTCCAATACACATCAATTGGTGAGTCTAATATTCTTCCAAAAGTGTGCTGATATTATTTATACCATTTCTGAACTAATGCAGTAGTCTGCATAACAGTAAATCTTCTATTTTTTGTGAGAATAAAAATTCAAAGTGAAAAGCAAAAGAAATGTAAGAGAGGCCTGGGGACGTGACTAATGAACAGGAAAAAATTTTATTTTAGTGCCAGGAATGTCTGTCTTGTTTATTCTGGACCCTATTTGGAAATTGGCATCTTTTGAAATTTGTGTGAAATTGGCAAAATTACCAACTTCTGACCACTTTATTGGATAGTTGAAATCGGTAAATAGGTGGTTTCTTGTACTCCTTTGATAGAAAAAATGGAGTTATAGCGAAACAGGTATTATTTTTGTCAACTGGTACATTGGAATTGGCTGAAAATAGGGCTCAAAGTGGGCAAAATCGCTGATGCGTAAACATTGTTGAGACTGCTAACTTCATGAGAGCATAATTCCGTACGTTTTCAATCAAATTTCATACTTTTGGTGTCATTATGATCAGGAAAAGATTCTATATCATTTCATAAGAAAAAATAACAATTTTTTTTTTCAAAAAAATTCCAACTCTGAGAACAAGTTTAGGAGAGGGCCTGTTGACCATGAAAGGGTTAAAGCGCAGGCATTGTACTTCCCATTTCTAGGACTCAAGTCTGGTTAACCGATTTCCCTGAATCCTTTCACAAAATATTACACTGCTCACACTCCAACAGCTCATCAGGTCCCAAAAACCATTCTTCTCCATTCACTCCTAACATGCACACACATGCTTGCTGGAAGTCCAAGCCCCTAGCCCATAAAACTTCCTTTAAACCCCTCCCTCCAACCTTTTCAGGGATGACCCCTACCCTTTCTTTCTTCTCCTACACATTTATATGCTCTTCAAGTCATTCTACTTTATTTCATTCTCTCTAAATGACCAAACCACCTCAACAGCCCCTCTTCAGCCCTCTAACTAATACTTTTAGTAATTTGACACCTCCTCCTAATTTCCACAGTGGTCACTTGTGGTCATATCTGTCCTAAGCTGTCTGGGATTAGCATGGGGTGTTACCTAGCACCATGGCTTGTTGTAGTGTTTTAGAATCACACATTAAAGTGTTGAAGAAGGAGATTCTACTTCTTCAGGAGGAAAATAGGAGGCTGAAGCTTTGTCTAGATGGGTTTGGGAGTGAGTATGAGATAGTTGTAGCTGGTGAGAAGGAAAAAGTTACCAGCAGTGATACAGAGACTGGCAGCTGCTTTAAGTGGCAACTGGTTCACAATTCACAAAGAAGGATGATAAGGAAGGTTAACAGAGTAAATGTGAAGGTAGGAAATCAATTCTCTGTTCTCCAGGACGAGTTTACTTCAGTGGTTAGTGAGATTAACCCTTCCAGGGTCGGCAGGATCTCTCCTAAACTTGTTCTCAGGGTCAGAAATTTTTCAAAAAAAAAAAAAAATATTTTTTCTTATGAAATGATAGATAATCTTTTCCCAATCATAATGACACCAAAAATATGAAATTTGATGGAAAACTTACAGAATTATGCTCTCGCGAAGTTAGTGGTCTCAACGATGTTTACGCATCGGCGATTTCACCCACTTTGAGTCCTATTTTCGGAAAATTCCAGTGTACTAGTCGACAAAAATCATAACTATTTCGTTAAACTTCATTTTTTCTATCGAATGAGTACAAGAAACCACCCATTTACCGATTTCAACTATCCAATAAAGTGGTCAGAATTTAGCAATTTTGCCAATTTCACACAAATTTCAAAAGATGCCAATTTCCGAATAGGGTCCAGAATAAACAAGAAAGACATTCCTGGCACTAAAATAACATTTCCTCAGTTCATTAGTCACGTCCCCACACCCCTTTTACAGTCTTTTGCTTTCCACTTTGAATTTTTATTCACACAAAAAATAGAAGATTTACTGTTATGCAGACTACTGCATTAGTGTGGAAATGGTATAAATAATATCAGCGCACTTGTGATAGAATATTAGACTCACCAGTTGACGTGTACTGGACGTGTAGTATCATTTGTTTACTTTTGAGCTTTGGTAAAAATTTAACATTTCTGCTACTTTGAGCTCAATTTCAAGGTACTTTTCATTGTAAAACCAGTCAAAATCATCTCAATTTCTGTAATATGTCTTCCCTTCTATAAAATGAGACCAGGAAAACTAGAATACAACAATAAATACTACACGAAAATACAGTGCAAAGTCGCTGTTTTAATCCAAAAACATGGTCAAAGTTTTTTTTTTTCTCATTACGCACTGTGTGCTGCAGGATTTTTTTATACTGCGCACACTGACCACATAGACCCATTCTTTCATATGTAGGCCTACCAGCTTTCTATCACTAGATTTGAGGGCGCTAGAATTTAGGCGTATTAGTATGTCAAAAACCCTGATGCGTAAGCCGTACTAGTACGTCTGAAACCCTGAAAGGGTTAATGAATAATGGGTTTCAATCACTCCCTCCTTCCAGTTACTTTAGCACATTGGCCACTTTAATTCACCTGCATCACCAGTGAAAATAGATATCCTTTAGAGTAAGTAAATTTTAATCAGGAAACTGCTTGAAAATTCAAGAATATTATATGTTCAATACAAAAAAACTAACCATTGTTCCTGATAATTTCTTCAGTAGTCTTTCCTGCTAAAACTTTCAGGTAGAGTGGAGCCACAAATGAGGTTAATGACCAAAGCCGCATTGTAGAATCCCGTGAACAAGATGCAAGCAGAAATGGACGTACAGGGTGGATGCTTAGTCCTATAAATTAAAAATATTTTTCTTCCATAAAATTACAAGACACACTTATTTACATAATTTAATACTTGTATATAAAATTGTTACTCATTTATACTGCATGACCCTAGTGGGTGTAGCACTTCATTATGATTATAATAATAATACAGTGGACCCCCGGTTAACGATATTTTTTCACTCCAGAAGTATGTTCAGGTGCCAGTACTGACCGAATTTGTTCCCATAAGAAATATTGTGAAGTAGATTAGTCCATTTCAGACCCCCAAACATACACATACAAACGCACTTACATAAATACATTTACATAATTGGTCACATTTGGAGGTAATCGTTATGCGGGGGTCCACTGTACTCATTTATAAAAAGGCTGTATTAAAGGCTCAGAAACTAATGATTTTTTCATAAATTTGAAGATATACAAATATCCAAGTAAAGTTTTGTGGTCAAGATAGCAAAAACAAAACTTAAGAGGGAACAAGTACAAAAACTCCATAACATACCATACACATCAGCTCCATGATCAAGAACAACGTCAAGGCAGGTAGCATGACGAGCATCCCACACCCTCATTGTTCGGTCCCAGGAGCCAGAAATAAGCAAAAAGGGAACTTCAGGACACCAAGCCAAACCACGCACATTGTCAGAATGGCCAACCAGAATTGTTAAACACTGCGCCTTTGCATACGACCATATTCTAACAGATGAATCATCACTGCCACTACACAAGATATCAGCATACACTGGATTCCACTTGACACGAAACACCTTTTTCAGATGAGCTGAAAACCCAAAACTCTGTTAAAGCTATATAAATATTAAAAATATTTTTAAGTACAGACTCTTTCATGAAATCCTTTAATCACATACATCCTCATCACTGTCTTCACTATCTTTTGACTGAGAGGAGTTTAGAACAGCATCAACAATGTTAACTCTTTAGAACAGCATCAATATGCTCTGTATTGGTAAATAGCTGCACAACAGGTGTATCAACATAATACTGTAATTCAGTTACATCTCAATACAGTTGGTGATAGTACAATACTTGTGCTGCTGTTATATATGTGTGAAGGTACATTAGTTTTATTTCTTGCTTTGGGCTATTATCTATAAGAAAATCTTTGCTGGTACAATAGTTGGAATTTTTCTGGATAGGACTGATCCTACAGCCAAAAAGAAATTATTTAGTTTATTTACTATTTCACTGATTTGGATGAATGGTTCATTTGATTTATTTAGGGAAGGGGGACAAAAGAGACTGTAAAAATTATAGAGGAATAAGTTTACTGAGTATACCAGGAAAAGTGTACGGTAGGGTTAAAATTGAAAGAACTAGAGGTAAGACAGAATGTAGGATTGCGGATGAGCAAGGATGTTTCAGAGTGGGTAGGGGATGTGTAGATCAAGTGTTTACATTGAAGCATATATGTGAACAGTATTTAGATAAAGGAAGGGAAGTTTTTATTGCATTTATGGATTTAGAAAAGGTAATTCCCAAATATCTGAACATATTCACTTCTTCCATACTCACTCCCTCCAATGTGATATCCAATTTTTCTTTATCTAAATCATTTGTTACCCTCATCACCTTACTCTTATCTATGTTCATTTTCATCTTTCTACCTTTACACACCCTCCCAAACTCATCCACTAACCTTTGCAACTTTTCTTTAGAATCTCCCAAAAGCACAGTATCATCAGCAAAAAGCAACTGTGTCAAATCCCATTTTGTATTTGATTCCTTATTAGGAAATAAATATAAGACAATAACCTACCTTTCAGCTCTGTCAAAGGCTCTCTTCTATTTTTTGTTACATTAAAGATTCGAATCTTCCCATCCTCACAGCCTGTGGCTAATATATCAGCATCTCGCCAGTCACAGCCATAAACAGGACCTGGGTGACGGTAGTCTTGTAACAGAGTCCCGCTCACTTGGTGAACATAGCAGTACCCTGATTCACCTGACATCATAGGTAAATATGATATGAATGTGATTTCCAATAACTATATAGATAAAAACCATCTATGGTAAATGCAAAAAGCCTTATTAACATAAACTAAAGTCAAAGACAAAGGTAGAGGAAATGTAAAATGCACACACACTGACATCACCCAGCTAAGTAATGGGATATGATTAACTGAATACAAAAAATATCTAGAATAGATAAATTAAATCATAATCAAGAATAGACTGACACCATTGTGATTAGGCAAGTTATGCCTATTTCTGCTTAATTGTTTATATGCATGAAATTTATAAAAAAAAAAAAAACTCACTTTTTCAAATTTTCCATTTTCCAAATCAATTACTCACCAGAAAACAAAAAAAGTTTTACCTGCAGATGCTATTCTTCTGGCATCCTTGTGATTCCATGCCACACAAAACACTTTTTTGTCTTTGTGGGAACATATATCTTGCAAGATCTTGTGTTTGCCTACATCCCAAATGAAGACATCTCCTCCAGAGGTTCCTGCTACTATACAGTTAAGGTCAGCTGGTGCCCATGATAGTGAGTATATGATGCTATTACAGTTGGGAAGATGGTCTACCTGTGTGAGAGAGAAAATTTCTTGTAATTCATATATAAACAAGATCAAACACATCTTCCAACAATTTCTTCCCAACTGGAGTACGCAACTGTAGTGTAGTCTGCATTTAGATGACTATTATATTCATGATCAAGTGCTAAACCCAGAGAGGTTATACAGTGCCTGGGAAACAGAAGGCAATCAGGCATGAGCCAAGGATGTGGATCAAAGGCCCATCACAAGCATCAAGGCACCCTCACCCACTGGAAGTCTGAATACAGAGAGAGGCAAACAAAATGTCAAACAAAAGCAGTAAAATGAATATCGTAAGCAAGAAATATTAATAGCAAAGACAGAAATCACTGAATTTGTCTTTGTTGGAAAATTGATTAAGAGATGGAAATAAAATAATTACTTACAAATTAAAGAGATGATTTGATAAACGGAGAAGGAAAGTTTTGGAACAATAGTAACAACAAAGAGGACAAGATGAAACATTCTTAATTACACAAAAGTGGTATAAAAATAATAGCAGGAAGTTTTTTTTTTTTTTTAACATGTTGCAGTTTCCCACTGAGGCAGGGTGACCCAAAAAAAGAGAGAAAAAACTTTTATCATCATTCAACACTCACCATCATTCATACATAATTACTGTCGCAGAGGCACTCAGATACGACAGGTTAGATGTCACTCCAAAGAGCCAATATTGTAAACCTCTCCTTTAAAGTATAGGCATTGTACTTCCCACTTCCAGGACTCAAATCCAGCTAACCAGCTTCCATGACTCCCTTCACAAAATATTACCCTGCTCACTCTTCAACAGCTTGTCAGGTCCCTAAAGCCATTCATCTCCATTCACTCCTATCTAACATTCACAAGCACACTTCCTGGAAGTCCAAGCCCCTCACTCACAAAACCTCCCTTACCCCCTTCCTCCAACCTTTCCTAAGATGACCCCCAACCTCTTCCTTCCTTCCTTCCTTCTTCAAGTCATTCTACTTTGTTCCATTCCCTCTAAATGACCAAACTGCCTCAATAACCCCTCTTCAGCCCTCTAGCTAAAACTTTTAGTAACTCCACACTTCATTCTAATTTCCACACTACGAATTCTCTGCATAATATTTACACCATACATTGCACATCCATATGAGAGTGTTTGTACCACTATACTCTCAAACAGTCTCTTCTTTGCCTCCATGGATAACATTTTTTGTTTCCACAGATACCTCAGAGCACCACTCACTTTTTTTTCCTTCATCAATTCTATGGTTAACCTCATCCTTCATAAACCCATCTGCTGACAAGTCAACTCCCAAATATCTGAACACATTCACTTCTTCCATACTCCCTTCCTCCAATGTGATATTCAATTTTTCTTTATCTAAATTGTTTGATACCCTCATCACCTTACTCTTATCTATGTTCACTTTCAAGTTTCTACCTTTACACACCCTTCCAAACTCATCCACTAACCTTTGCAACTTTAGAATCTCCCAAAAGCACAGTATCATCAGCAAAAAGTAACTGTGTCAACTCCCATTTTGTATTTGATTCCCCATAATTTAATCCCACCCCTCTCCCCAACACTCTAGCATTTACTTCTTTTACAACCCCATCTATAAATATGTTAAACAACCATGGTGACATTACACAACCCTGTCTAAGACCTACTTTTACTGGGAACTAATCTCCCTTTCTCCTAGCAGGATGTATTACCCACAATTATAAATACAGCTGACAATTGGAATATTCTTAAGGTGTGTGAAACAATATTCAATTGAAAAATACTATAATTATGATGAACATAAGAACATAAGAACATAAGAAAGGAGGAACACTGCAGGAGGCCTGTTGGCCCATACTAGGCAGGTCCTTTACAATTCATCCCACTAACAAAACATTTGCCCAACCCAATTTTCAATGCCACCCAAGAAATAAGCTCTGATGTGAAAGTCCCACTCAAATCCAACCCCTCCCACTCATGTACTTATCCAACCTAAATTTGAAACTACATGTTGAGGGCAGGATGATTACATGTTCAGGGCAGGATGCAATGAGCTGTATTCCACAAGCAGCAAATATATACACACACTAACTGTGCTTAAATTATTTCTATACATTTTATCTACCCTGCAGTTATGGATCTTAAATCTTTCTGGAATTAATAGAAACATCTTCGTCCAGCAAAAATTAAAAAAATTAATTGAGTCTAGCAGGAGAGAAGTGAGCATATGAAGGCGCTGTGGGCAACATGCCAGCCTGTCCCAGTCATGTTTTTTTTTTGTTTTTTTCAACAAGTTGGTCGTCTCCCACCGAGGCAGGGTGACCCAAAAAAGAAAGAAAATCACCAAAAAGAAAATAATTTCATCATCATTCAACACTTTCACCACACTCACACATTATCACTGTTTTTGCAGAGGTGCTCAGAATACAACAGTTTAGAAGCATATACGTACAAAGATACACAACACATCCCTCCAAACTGCCAATATCCCAAACCCCTCCTTTAAAGTGCAGGCATTGTACTTCCCACTTCCAGGACTCAAGTCCGACTATATGAAAATAACCGGTTTCCCTGAATCCCCCCACTAAATATTACCCTGCTCACACTCCAACAGATCGTCAGGTCCCAAGTATCATTCGTCTCCATTCACTCCTATCTAACACGCTCATGCACGCTTGCTGGAAGTCCAAGCCCCTCGCCCACAAAACCTCCTTTACCCCCTCTTTCCAACCCTTTCGAGGACGACCCCTACCCCTCTTTCCTTCCCCTATAGATTTATATGCTTTCCATGTCATTCTACTTTGATCCATTCTCTCTAAATGACCAAACCACCTCAACAACCCCTCTTCTGCCCTCTGACTAATGCTTTTATTAACTCCACACCTTCTCCTAATTTCCACACTCCGAATTTTCTGCATAATATTTACACCACACATTGCCCTTAGACAGGACATCTCCACTGCCTCCAACCGTCTCCTTGCTGCTGCATTTACCACCCAAGCTTCACATCCATATAAGAGTGTTGGTACTACTATACTTTCATACATTCCCTTCTTTGCCTCCATAGATAACGTTTTTTGACTCCACATATACCTCAACGCACCACTCACCTTTTTTCCCTCATCAATTCTATGATTAACCTCATCCTTCATAAATCCATCCGCCGACACGTCAACTCCCAAGTATCTGAAAACATTCACTTCTTCCATACTCCTCCTCCCCAATTTGATATCCAATTTTTCTTTATCTAAATCATTTGATACCCTCATCACCTTACTCTTTTCTATGTTCAGTTTCAACTTTCTATCTTTACACACATTCTCAAACTCATCCACTAACCTTTGCAATTTTTCTTTAGAATCTCCCATAAGCACAGTATCATCAGCAAAAAGTAACTGTGTCAATTCCCATTTTGAATTTGCTTCCCCATAATTTAATCCCACCCCTCTCCCGAACACCCTAGCATTTACTTCTTTTACAACCCCATCTATAAATATATTAAACAACCATGGTGACATTACACATCCCTGTCTAAGACCTACTTTTACCGGGAAGTAGTCTCCCTCTCTTCTACACACCCTAACCTGAGCCTCACTATCCTCATAAAAGCTCTTTACAGCATTTAGTAACTTACCACCTATTCCATATACAGGAGGGCCCCACTTATACGGCGGGTTAGGTTCCAGGCTACCGCCATAAAGCGGAAACCACCGTAAAGTGGAACACCCTTTTTTTCCACTTACAAATGCACACAAACACTAGATAACAAGTTTACACTAACATATATTATGTTAGCAATAGAACCAGGCATCAAAAAACAATAAAAAAGTACAATACACACATAGTGCACTCATTACTTACCTTAAAATATTTATAGTCTTAATCTAGGGTGAGACAAGTAGTATTTATTGAAGAAATCAAGTGTGTATGTATGGTAGTCAGCCAGGCTACCATACCAGGCCACCCCACCCACACAACTATTCTATGTTATTTAAGCATCCCAGAGCGATAAAATGTATATACAGTCACTCATTACTTACCTTAAAATATAGGTGAGATGAGTAGTATTTATGTAAAAAATAAAATGGGGAAATTTGGTAGTCAGCCGGCCCCATACCAAGAAAAAGAATGATGATGAGAGAGGACAGGCGCAGGTTATGTAAAAAAACCAGGCGGGGGTAAGTTTTGTAACAGTGTACCTTTGGTTTTGTACAATTACATTGTGTACGGGTTGTCTCTAATTGATAAATAGAAAAAAAAGAAAAACATCCCATCTTGTAACATCATTTAGAAGAAATGATGCCTGAGTAAAGGGGCAAGGGGAATAATCATTTGACTTTTTTGGGTTTCCCTGGGTCTCTACCATATGTTGTTAGTATTTATTTTATGTATCGGTTTTTATTTTAATTTTTTGAAAAAATACACAAGGGATTAACGAAAAGTGTATTTTAAACGTAAATACAACTTTTTAATGATACCCAGCTCAGACAGCGTAAACAAAAAAACTAACAGGTTGGGGACGATCCCGGTCAGGCGAAATGCGGGATTAAAAGTGTCCCCTTTTAGTTCATTCATGTACATTTGTAAGAGTTTTTTAAATTTTTTCCTTTAAATTTTTATTATTATAAAATTAAAACACGAAACAAAAACCTTACACTGTGTCAAGTTAAAAAAGAATTATAGCTATAAAGGAAGGCGACGAAAGGAAAATTTTTTTTAAAAGTTATCCCTAGTAACAGGGGACGGGCTAAGAAAAGTAATTTTTTTCCACACTTTAAAAAAACCTTTGGAAACCCTCAAAATTTGTATAAATTTTTTACTGTGGGGCACGTATCATTTTGTGTTTACATAATGTGTTTCTTTATAAATTTTTTTAAAAAAAACATAGATAGATTAAGGGGAAAAGTTATATTAACGTAAATATGCGAATTAAGGCCCCAAGAGATTATATTATTAAAATAATTATTATTATTATTATTATTATTTTATTATTTTATTATTATTATTGCATCAAGAG